TACCATGGAGCGGGGTCGGAGGTGGGGGAAAAAAAAAAAGAAAAAAGCAGAGAAGGAGAACCCAGCAGCTGAGAGAGGCCACGGTCCGGAGGCAGGAGTTGCTGGAGATATTTTTTTACCGCTTTCCCCTTGGTTTCCGTGGGAGGAAGAGCAGGCAGGAGGGTAAGGGTGAGGAGGAGACTTCTCCAGCCCGAGGAGGGAGGGAGGGATCAGGGGCTGTCAGCTGTGAGTCAGAAACGAATGAGGCATTTCTCCTTGCCCTTTTTCTGTACCTGCGACGGCACCCTGGACACCGGCGCCTGGGACCTCCGCAAGCCTCACGCGGGGACCCCCGGCACGGTCAGTGCCCAGCACCCCCCTCGGGGGCCAGCCGGCTCTGTGGGGCCCCTGCCAGACTGCTCCCACCCGGCTCCCGGGGGGACAGGCGTTCCCGTCGCATCCCCACCTGCGCGAGAGCTGGCACGTGTTCTCCTGCTGACCGCAGGGCAGAGCTGGAGCTGTCCCGCGGCCACCCAGGGATGGTGGCACCACAGAGACGCCACGTTTTTGGGGAAGAACCTTCCTCCCTGACTTTCAGGGTTTTCTACTCAACCCAGCCAGGAATCTGAGGGGGCAAGCTGAGAAAAACCCCACAGAGACCCCCACAGACTGGGAACGACCTTCTCCCAGCCACGCTCAGGGCAGGGAACGGGGAGGGGGTCAAAGAGGTAGCAGCAAGACCCCAAGCCCTTCAGAGTGCCTGGAGATGAGCATCTTCCCATCTAGTAGGAGAACCTGAGGACCTGTAGCAGTGGGGAGCTGGACCCCAACAGCAAGGCCCCCCCCAGCATGTTGTAGACCATCCGCTCTCCATGGCCGGCACTGGAGACAAGTCCCATGCTGCTGAACTCAGACCCAGAGGCAGGTACTGCCAAACCCCTCATCACAGCGGGAGCATTAATTGCTATCAGGGAAGAGAGGTAGAATGCCTGGAGGCTGATCCTGCTACAGCCACAGCTGCAACCTGCTCCCACAAGTACAGGAGGGGACCAACTGCTGTCATTTAATAACAAATTGATGGGTTCTCCAGGCTAAGGAGGCACCTTGCCTTTGAAAGCTGAAATGAAACCCAGAGATGTTCTTGATCTGGGCCAGGCAGAGCATCCTGTGGAAGCACATAGGACCAGGACGGCTCCAAGGGGCAAAGAGTCGACAGCACGAACCCAGCCAGTACAAACGGTTTACAGGCAAGTTGGTTGCACAAAGGCAGCAGGAGACCTGCCGTGCTGCTTCATGGGGCCACGCGGGGTTGGCTGCCACCTCCATCGCCCTGCCTTTCACACACAACTACGCCGACAGCATCTTCGCGCGAATGATCTGGAGAAAGTGTCATGGGCTTGGCTGTAGGAAGTTGTCTCGAGTTGAGACAACTAAAAAAAAAAAAAAGCTGTAGTTCCACTGATTACAAATTACATCAGTGGAGGAGCCTGTCCACACTATCAAGGCAGATGCTTCAAATAATGACTCTTCGGATAAACAACATCCAAAGTCAGTGTAAAAAAAGACATGGACTGCGCTCAGCTGAAACCTCATAAACCCAACAGCACAAGCGCTGCTTTTCACACCAACACAAATTTAGGTGCATCTGTGGAAGCTGATGTTGAAACCAAGGAAAGAGGGGAAACTGGTGGTCCCAAGGAGGGGCAGTACTGCTGCTGGGCACCCCCACAGCTCCTCCAGGCCTTTGGAGAGCATCGGGGTGCCATGAGCTTCGGCTGAGGGGCAGCCAGACCAGCATGGCTCCTTCTTGGAGGGAGGCTGGGCAGCATCAAGGGGTGACACCAGAATGTGAAACAACACTGTGCGTGAGGCTCCCCGGTCCCAAAAGAGCCAGGTGTTTGCTAGGCTGAAGAAAGCACTTTTTTCCCCCAGCCAAAAAACTTGAGTAGCAGTGTGAACCTGGCTGGTGTAAATAACCACCCAGGCGCAGAGGTGGGTGGGCTTTGCAGAGCTGTGCTGGTGGCACCAGGAGATGAGGACACCAAAAGGCAAATTTTCAAGGCATCTCAAACCTACTGAAGATGCTCTCCAAGACAGCAAGCATGTCCAGGGACAAATCCTGCTTCATGACTGTTCACGGGGGGCGGGGGCATGTTGGACCTGATTCAGCTCTCCAGCTTGCCTCCTCGGGGCTCCCATGGGGGAGCTCACCTGGGATTCTGAAAACCAGCCAGGGGCTCCCAGGAAAGGGGGTGGTGGGAAGGGACCTGTCCTCATGCATCAGCATCCCGTGAATGTGCACACCAGAGACATTTCCTCTTTGCTTTATCTCTCTCCCCTTCCCTCCCACAGAATTACCCCGAGCAGCAGAAAAGCCGATTCCCCCCCGCCCCTTACAGGAAGCACATCCATCTCGGGAACAGTCCGGCCGCTCCGCAGAGCCTTGCGAGCTGGAGGCCAATCAGCCACGCCAGCAAAGACTTAATGATAA